CATGCCCTAATCCAACTTAAATTAATATAGCACCCCCAATACCATGAGCCTCTATTTTTGTAATCAGTCTTTCATGTGGCACTGTATCAAAAGCTTTGCTAAAGTCAAGGTACACAACATCACAATCCTTACCACTATCAACTGCCTCAATTATGCTGGAATAAAAAGATAGCAAATTTGTTAAACTTGAACGGCCATTTGTAAAACCATGTTGCGACTCGTTTATTAATTTATTTTTTTCAAGATGAAGACGAATTGTATTTGCAATTATCGATTCAAGTAACTTTCCCACAATAGACGTTAGGCTAATTGGCCGATAGTTTGACGCAAGTGATCTATACCCTTTCTTAAAAATTGGTACCACATTAGCTACCTTCCATGACTCTGGCACTCTACCTAACTCTACTGTCTATTAATTTATTAAATATGGTAGACAGTGGCTCGGAAAGCTCCTCTTTGCATTCTTTAAGCACCCTGGCAAACACTTCATCCGGCCCTGGGGATTTGTTTGGTTTTAGTTTTGCTATTTGTTTAATTACATCCTCCCTGGTAACTGCTTTAATTCGAACAAATATATGTGGGTGGGGACGAGGACAGGTTGACTAGTTTAGCATTATTCCAATAATAGTCATTGAGTGAATAAATATTGTGGGGTTTTCTATTTTGCTTTCCCAACTGCAATGAGTACGTCGCCAATGTACATGTAGCAGACGCTTCACAAAGCTGTCAAAATCAGTAGAGAAAATACGAGAGCAACCGTACAGGGCCTGGGAGCAAGGTCGAGTTAGTCCTTGAGGTTCTCTTCTCAGACTAGCCTCACCTGGTCCTGGTCCACGTTGATCGTTGGAATCTCCTCAATGCTTAAGTCACTTTAAGGGACTCCTAGGATCCTCATCACATATATAGATTTGTGAATAATAGGCAACTCGGTATTGAAGACAACTGGAGCTAAGGCTTGAGTAAATAGTTGGCAGTATTCAGAAGTGGTTCAACGGAAACACCACATAAAGCTTAACAGTAGTTTATTTACTAACTTAACCACTAATACAAAGGGTGCTTGATTTACTTTAGATTGGCGTCAGAAAGGCTATGGTTGCATTAGTGAGACTCTTAACGTCTGGCTAATAGATTCGGATCCACTCATGGAGAAACGCCTAACTTAACACAATTGACAGCCAATCATTAACACAGCAAACCTAACTGCCAGTATGCAAAGGGATCACAAGAGTTCCAACCAGATACTTGGGTAATGATGATGTGCAATAATTCAACAATGGCACTGTCAATGGGACATGCAATAAAATGCACAATGATAATATCACACAATACTAAATGTGTGGTGTATGTGAAGCTCACATTCACAGACGAGTGTAATGTCGTGATACCACACAGATAAACACACATACACCGTCGGGTGTCTTCACCTATACCTGTGTCGGGTATGAGAAGGTGAGAACTGTGGTTGATCCCTCAGATCAACACAGACACACAATAAAATAATGACAAGATCTTGTACTTACAGGTAGGCTACCTCTTATTCACTCACTCCCTCAGGCACATTTATGCAAGAACTCGTAGGTGGCCTGACAGCTGGTTTCGGCAACAGGCTTTCCCACAAACCGTACTTGACACGGGGGTACTCGCAGGAGGGCGCGGTGTATATCAACACACACACTTGATGGCACTGGCGGTAAGTAAGGTGGTGACGTCATGTAGTACCATGAGGCAGGGCGGCTGGCGGCTTGAGGCTACCGAGGTACTGAGGTACTAGCTACACACTCTGGACAGTGGCGGTGGCGGCTGCAGGTTATATGGTACCATGCGGTACACTGTGGTAAAGTCACACACGGATTGCTTCGGCGGCGGCACTGCCTTAGTTCACTCTAGGTCACTCACAGATGATCTCTATTTGTCACTAGGGGTTACCTGATACCAGTCTGTTTCGCTCTGGTGATTTGTCACTAGGCTTCTAAGCAATATAGTCACGATTGCGATTCCGGGCGAGCGTTGGTATATCGAAAAGACGCCGAGTTTAACTTGACGGTGAGGAATAGATGGCGTTCAATCTATTGGCCGATAGACAGAACAGGACACGTCCTTTATGCACGGGCTCCCTCACGTGAATACCCAGCAAGAGGCTGCCGGGCATCTCATGGGACACAACACAAGGGATTACAATTTGACCAATAGCATTGCAGCAAAAGAGCGGGAACCAATCATATTGATTGTTCCCTGATCAGTAGCAGAGGTGACGTCATGAACACGTCGCAACCACGTCATAGTTGTTATTCTCCATCGCTGGTTGAGGCTGACCCCAGAGGTCAGTCTGTCGCCTCGCTGGCGTCCTCTCCCTCTCTCACGCCTGGCACCTTCTGTGTACTCTGACCCTGTAGCAAGTATGCTTAACTTCCCTGTATCTACTTCCTGCCTGGACATACGGCGGCCTCCGTATTATAAATGTATTCCTGGTTAAATGGGCATCCTGGAGATACCCAACATGCCAGTTTACTATCCAGGGTTAACAGAGATAGGGCTTGTGCACGATATCGGTGCACTGTGCACGGCAATGAGCCATTCAAGTCAGCTGTGGGAGAATCCTGAGAGACCATCCTCTCACAAATATATGTAAAATTAGGAAATATTGCAAGGAATAAATATTGTCCATGGAAATAGGATTATACAAAACAGTCAATTCAAGTACTGCTTCAAGGTAACCCTCAAAGACCTGGACATCAACACCAGTGCTTGGAAGTTGCTTCCTCAGGATCGTCCAATTTGGAAAAGCAAAGTCACCACAAGGGCCCGTGCGGCAGAAAATAGAGGAACTGTGAAGGCTCGGAGGAAATGTGCTGCGTGCAAAGCTAGAGCAACCTTCACCTCAGTAGTAGCACCCACCCACAAATGTCCCATGTGTGTGGGCGAGTCTTCTGGACCCAGATTGATCTCGCCCTCCATCATTTGACACAGCCACTAACCTTATTTCTGGATATTAAAGTCATGGTCATCTTCACATCTGAAGAACAAAAATCATCATAAGAAACTTTCATTAGATTAAAAAAAAAAAAAGTACCTTACCAAACATGCCTTACAGAACTTAAGCATCAGTAATATTCACAGCAATATCTTCTCATTACAGACCATTTCCAGTCATCTGCATCTCCCTCTGACCAATCCACATTACTGTATTTTGGCTTTCTGATCTATTAGTTTTCCCGATCCTTATCCACAACTAATTCTGTGGTAAAGCCTTTTTGTTGTATGGATAACCCTCTGAGGTATCGGAGAGGTATTAGATGTGTTATAGATGTGGCATTAGATGGAAAAACTCAAGGCTGGTGTACGGAACCTGCAGAATCAGAGTACAGTATAGTACCAGGGTTATCTTGAGATGGTTTTGAGGCTTAGCGTCCCCGCGGCCCGGTCCTCGACCAGGCCTCCTTTTTGTTACACATCCCCAGGAAGCAGCCCCTAGCAGCTGTCTAACTCCCAGGTTCCTATTAACTGCTAGGTAACAGGGGCACCAGGGTGAAAGAAAATCTGCCCATTTGTTTTCGCTTCCACCGGGGATCGAACCCGGAACCTCAGGAGTACGAATCCGAAGCACTGTCCACTCGACTGTCAGGCCCCTTGCCATGGGTACAGGGATACAATAGTGTGTTTTATATGCCTTGTCTTAGTGTATTTTAAGGAAAGGTGGCCATAATACTGTACAGTATATGGAAAGGGATGGGAGGGTTGGTGACTGGACACTTAGTGCCATATATCTGGTCACTTGCATATATTAAGTTCTGAAGGTGAGAACTGATTATTTTATAGTTAAATCTCCATTTGACTCCAAATTAATTAAACCAGTTATTGATTTCTGGTTAATGCGAGGCATTTGGTTACTTTTTCTTACACATAATACCTCTGTCCACTTAGTAGTAAATAGGTACAGTATATGGTAGTTAGGCAACTGCTGTAGTGTTGGTTGCATCTGGGAGAGTCATTGGCATGGGGGACCATGATATACAGTACCTATCAAACATCATGTTTCTGATTATTGAGAACCATCTTTGCTTGTAAAAATATTATTTGTTATTGTCAGATTTAAATATTAATTGCTTAAATTAGGGGAATGGATTCCAGCAGTTTTTACCCTAGCCTTGCAGCTCTTGCTTGGTGGTATGGTTTGAACTCGGATTATGGAACAGTATATCAAAAGAAATGGTGCACAAACAGCTTGAGTAATGAGGTCAGTCCATGCTCACACAGGGAATATCTTGAGGATATCTTGAGATGATTTCGGGGCTTTTTAGTGTCCCCGTGGCCCGGTCCTCGACCAGGCCTCTACCCCCAGGAAGCAGCCCGTGACAGCTGACCAACACCCAGGTACCTATTTTACTGCTAGGTAACAGGGGCATAGGGTGAAAGAAATTCTGCCCAATGTTTCTCGCCAGCGCCTGGGATCGAACCCAGGGATCGAACCCAGGACCACAGGATCACAAGTCCAGAGTGCTGTCCGCTCGGCCGACCGGCTCCCTCCCTTGGGAAGACACAAGATTAGTACCAGTATGAACACAGTAATAATTAGATCTATGGGTGCCATACATTCACACTCTGCAATTTATGGTGCATAACAAGCAAAGTCCAGTAAGACATTTCTTAAACCCAAATTTTGTGTAATATTTAAACATTCTGCACTTATTGCCAGATGAACACACACTAAGTGAAAGGAAATGTGCCCACATATGTTTATCTTGCTGCAAGAATTAAACCTGGCACCATTCGATTGTGAACCAATTGCACTGGCCACTAATCTATATTTATGAAAAACTTGTTCATGTGCCTTGCATATTGGTTATATATTCATAACATTTGTGTACTGTATGTTTCATACAGTAATATAGGCTAATGGGTGTTGTACTTTCAAATTAGATACTGGAATTTCCATAATGTTTGTCATACTGTACAATATAAGATTTGGTACATTTTCTAACATCTTGTATTTTCTCCAACAGTTGTATTGTGGTGACCCTTGCCATTCCAATCCAACACCATGAGCACTGAGGCATCAATCAAGGACTTGCCAAAGGTTGACACTGCCCTCAAGGGACAGCTGGAGGGCTTCTCCCCCGACAAACTGAAAAAGACTGACACAGCGGAGAAGTCCACTTTACCCACCAAGGAAGGTGAGTAGAACTGGTCGATTTGGAAAAGCCCCAAACTGAATGGAATAGGCGAGGTTAGTGGTAGGGTGTACATTTTGCTAATTTGAGTGGCAAGAGTACAATAACATACTGTATTGATATTCTCACTTTACTTCCCATGAATGAGTTTCTTTCAGGTCAGCCAGATGAGGAGGGGAGGGGGTTATTTGGTGCCAAATATGAAATTTTTTTATTGTTGATAAGTTGGCTTAAAAGAAAGTTTATCCAGAAACTGAAAAAATTAAATCCGAGTGATGAAATAGATTTCAATAAGTAAGAGGTAAGGGGAACCATGAGAAGCATCGATCTAATATGTATATGTATTGTGGAGATGTAAACTAGATGGAAGGTTATAAGAGAGCAGTATTTGTGTAATAAAATTTATGTAACACATACTAGGCTATACAGTATTTTACTTGTGTTGTGCAGTAGACTACTGGTTATTTGCAGCAGGTTTAATATACACTCAACAGATGTTCAGTATTGCTATACACTGAACAGGTGCACATGTGATGAAAATGTCATTATTAAGATACAGCTCACTTAATGTGTAGTGCTTCTAGGTAGGTACAAGTTGGGAATTTTTTTTTAATGCAGTACAATCAACTGTAAATTTTGTGTGACCCTTCAGTATAAAAAAATAAAATGCACAAAACTAAATAAAAGCCAACCATAGAATTGTCTGGTAAATATGCAAGAGAAAAAAAAAACATCAACCCCCATGTGGTAGATGTAAATCTCTTGGGAACATCTCGCTCATGTTTATGGCTCAGTCACCATTATGAGTGACATTATAATATTGTAATTGATACCATTAATTAATGGTAAATATTATGGGATTCTTTTTTATTTGAAAAAATCAGTGTTGGCTTTTTTTCCCACTAAAATATGGTACATAAAATTTTTTGGAGTACAATTCAGTATATCTATTGCTCGCATTTATGATATTGTATGTACAGTACTGGGAAAACCTATAACCAGTACTTATTATACTTGAAACTATTTTTTTACAATAATGGTAAGAATGTACAAGAATGTAAGAACTCTTGTGTACATATAAATTGGATAAAAAAATGTGCTCAAATAAATTTTATCGAGAAAAATAATTGTAATTTTCTCATACAGTAAGTACAGTATATGGTAAATATGGAACAATAACAATTTAGAGAAAAATGTCTTTTGCAGTTGTTTATTGGTTGAATATATGTATTTTATCTTGAACATTTATGGTCTGATACACTGGTAGTTACTTGGACCATAATTTCTATTAAAAACTGAAGACTCAAACTTTATTTTTATAAATTTAAAAAAAATAAATGTATTTTTATATTATTACTATAAACATAAAATAATAATGATAATTTTATAATAATACAAAACAGAAGTGCCACAGCATGAGGATTAACCCTCAAATGCAGCTTATCAGAATTGTGATCTCACTTGTGTGTGTGTTGGAGGGGGGAGAAATTTGGATACTTGGTTCTACATACTATATGGTATATAGTACTAGTCTTACAGGCAAGCATGAGAAAAATATCATACAGCATTTATCTGGGCTCTTAAGTCGAACTTCCTTAACATACCACCAGGTCTTGGTACCACCCAAAAAGAAGGAATTACAGTATTAAGCAGATTTAAATTTGGCAGGTCAAGCACACTGAATGAATCTTAATTTTTATGTTTAGACCAGATTTGTGCACTGCAATATATGATGCAACATTATTTAACATGATGAAAACTTGCATTGGATGGTTGCCTTCAGGTGGTTCTAAGGATTAATGGCCTTGTGGCTCATCTCTGACCAGGCCTCCTGGTTGGTGGTCTGGTCAACCAGGTGGCTGGATGCCACTGCTTGAAGTCTTTATGAGTTACAGCCTGGTTGATTACATACTCTTTTGGAGGCATTTCTCAACATAATGGTATGTTTTCTGTATATTCTTGAAAAACATAAACCTGTATGATCCACTGATTTGAAACATAACACACTGAACAGATAACTGAAAAGTCCATAATATTTGCATTTTTGCCAATAGTTTCACTGTGAATCTGTTGGGAACCGATTTATTTTTTATTTTTTGTGCAGGAAGCTTTGGTAGTATAGTTTGCAATAGTTAGAGGTGACCCAAGAGGATAATATTTTTAGCAGTATTAGTGATATATTTACTATAAAGATTTATTCTGTTTAGACAATTGAATTGAGCAGTAGTTTGTATAGACTGTTTAATTCAAACCGTTTAATTTATATAAACCAAAGGGATGATAAAGTAACTTGTCTAGTGTATTGTGATGAGGAGGAAGCATGGACAGTTGTTCATATACTGTAATTTTAAAAGCAGTCATAGCCCATACTCATACGATCATGTGAAGCATAGACACAACTTACTGATGCAGAATTTGGCAGTGTTGGCAAAAGAATCGTACAAGGGTAAGTATGTGTTTGCTTTTGTTATGCCAGTTTCCCACCTTTGTTCCTTTCTTTTATGGTGTTTAGATCTTTGATGGCAGAATTAGTATAGTAACTGTAGTGGAGTAGTTGCGGCAAGTTAAGAGAGCTCGGTGAGCCCAGTTTTGTGGCTTTATAAAGTGTCTGCCTGGGTGCTATGGACTCTTAGGCTGGTCAGTTGGCTTATCACGTTATCAACTACCCTGTAATTTATTAAAATTATTTTATCTTTGGTCAATTAATTTAGAACCACCATCAGACTTTTCCCTATAAATGGATACGTTTCCAATGTACTTTTGTGTACAAGGTAGTTGTCACGTACTTGGGCAATGGAAAATCTAACAGTTAGAAGCTGGGTCAGGGGCAGTTAGGATAATATTCTCAATGGGCTTTACAGACTGTTGGCTTGCGTGACTTAATTAATTTACAAGAGTTGAGAGGATTTTATATAATAAAGTCGGATTTTTATTCATTTTGTAGTGGTGAGGTAATTAATGAATAACATTTTGTTGTTCAGTTAAATGAGGTGGCAACATTGCTCTAGTTCAGGCAAACAATGCTTGGTATTTGTAAAATTACATTAATCTAAGCTGGGATCAGTTTTAAGTTACTCCACTTACCTGTATATGTGATAACCTGACACATTATACTTTTCCTGTTCAGGATAGTCTTTAGAGTAGCATGTTGCCACCTAGATAATGTTTCTTGCATGAATTACTAGGTGTATTAGTTTTGCATATTACAGCACCTCACCAATTATTGCATGCTCACGTGTCGAGTTTCGTTATTCTAGCATGAGTAGGCAAAAGTATGTTTCTAACTAGTGTTGTAATGTATTGCAGTTATAAAGCCATGGCTGGTCCATCTGTTAATGATAAATGCAATGTTCTCTTTATGACATTATAGATTTGGTACTTAAACATGAATTCTTGGTGGCTTTATACTGCTCTTTAGAATATTTGGCTTGCCATTTGCCTTTGCACGCAGTAAAATGTCTTCACTCATATGTACTAGTAAAGTAGTTCCTAATGATTAATGAAATGAGCACAGTATATTTATACACTTGGCTTAAAACTAGATGTAGACGTAAGAATTTATACTTTAAAGAGGGAACTGTCAATTGGTCTTAAACTTAGTTTAATATTTGTGACCAAGGTTGCTAGTATTACCATGGGTGTGGACAGAAGAGTTTAGAGATGTACAGTGGGTGTGCATGATAGCTTTGTTATTGCATGGCATGCAGACGTGGAGCAGGAGAAGCAACACACTGAGCTCCTCGAGAACATCAGCCACTTCCGCAGTGATAAACTGAAACGCACTTCTACCTCCGAGAAGATCGTCCTCCCTACTAGTCAAGGTATGGTGTCGGCAGTACCACGCTTATAATACAGCTGCATTTTCTCGTGCAATCTTTGATGATTTCCATCCACTTGTTGACGACATTTCTAGATATTGTTCTCTATACATTTGACTATTCACTTTATCAAAGTGTACTTGTGGTAAGCAGTAGACATATCTGATCATAACATTTTAGGGCACTATAAAGGACTGAACATGTTTGCATATACTTTACTATATTACATACAGTATACTCTACAATTCTTGGTGGCTAATTTGTACTTTGGAGGAGGTGGGGGGGAATGTCTAATAACTTAAAATGATTTGAGAGGTAGTCTAGCCTCCATCCACACATCACATGTGTACATGTGATGTGTAGGATGGAGGCACACCACCCCCCACACTTGCGTGCACACTGCATTCCTGTGCACGTGCACTTTTTGACCACTCGGCGTCATAAGACTGCTTATAGTATGGTTATGTAACCAGTTATTGATTTTAGTTGCTTTTATATGCCAAATTTATACAATTTTCTTTTAGTTAATGAACCACTATTATAACTGTTTATTAACAGTTTTGAATTGAAGGTTAGTCTCCCGATTATTCAATGGGGGTGAAGGGATAAAATTGTTGCATGACCTATCATACCTCCAGTTACCATATTAAAAATGCCTAAATTAAATTTGGAATTGCTAAAATAATTGCATTTGTTTAATTATTAAATAGTTTGTCGCTGGAGCTAAGATTCACTTCATTTGGCCTATACAGTATATTGCAATACTGTACAGTACTGTATTTAGTTAATTTTTTTAATTAAAAGTACTATTTGATATTACTGTATTTTGCATTGCTAAGTGTCCTTAGGTTAGAAGAGACTTTTAAGGTTCCATGTAGAATTGAATCTCACTCGGGCCTCTGTCCATAATTGATGAATTGGGACTTGACAAGCCACAGTAGCCAAAGTATAAAGCCTAAAGTATACACAGAAGCCAAAGTATAAAGACTAAAGTCGGCAAAGTTACCAGCGAGCGCACAAAATCAGTAAAATTTATATACTCGTTTCAGTTTTCTCCCCTTATTTCTCGTGCTACATCGTTAATTTTGCTATCATTGTGTTCGCAATAGAATTCTCTATAGGGGTATATGCATACAAGGTCTAAGAGCCCGGAGTGACTCCCCACAGCAAAGCCTAAAGTCGTCCAAGTTACCCATGAACAAGCACCTGCAGACTAATATATATACTCGTTCAGTTTGATAACATAAATTTTTGTGCTACTTCCTTCATTTTGGTATCAAGTTGTTCGCAATAAAAAGGCGCGTATTTTAAAACTAGTCCCATAATAATAGAACAATAAATAGAATTTTAACAAATATTTCAACTTTTGGACTCTTTTTGACGCTCATCACACCAAAATTATTCATATCTTTCCAGTGTTCTGACATCAATTTTCATGTTATGTCTTTCATTTTGGTATCAAATTGTGTGCAATCTAAAGGCGCTCATTTTGAAACCACTCCCAGATTGGTCAGTTAAAATTAACATTTTTAACAAATATTTTAATGGATGACGCAACAATTGTCATCCATTCACAATACGGAGAAAAGCGGATGACTATGCTCGTGACATCGGTGTGCGAAAGTGTTAACAAAAAGGAGGCCTGGTAGAGGACCAGGCCACGGGGACACTAAGCTCCGAAATCATCTCGAGATAACTTCAAGATACATTATAAATATATACTGGTATACAGTACGTATGAGAGTATCATGGCTCAATGTTCCTTATGCATGTTTGCAGTGTGTGCTGCTTTGTGAGGCTTCATTGTTTAAAGCTGATCGATTGGTAAGAACATTAGGCAAAGTCGCCAATGTCATATTTTCGTATCTTTAAATATACTGCTCTTTAATCCCAAATAGAGGAGATAGTGGAAGATGGAAAGTACTGTTTATGTACACTTGAGAACTACACCACTGAATGATCCCCATGTGTGTGTGTAATTATACAGTATTCTATATGTACCAGTATATATTTATGTACAGTATATATATCTGTTAGTTCACTACATATATTTATTAGCACACAATACATGTTCATTCACAATGCTTTTAAATGCACAGTGAGCAATTTTTAGAAACAATTTCTGCATGACGGGGGGAATTAAGCAGATATAAGTTCCTTGCATCATTTAAATTTTGTTAAAGATGTTGCTTAATAATCTTGCCTTGCCAAAAGTTCTCCAAACTGCATAGTATAAGATGGGTACTTTTGTTCAGAATGTGTTGATTGACTTAAGTTGTTACATTAAGCAGTCTCACTCTAGCACTACAAAATGAAGTCTGTTGCAGAAACACATTGGTAAATTGCCAATGGGGTGAGTGCATATATATACATATATATATTTTGAGTGTTCAGGTTTAGTCTCAAACCTAGTCTTTAGTGCACCTGTAGTTGATGGAAATGCATAAAATTGGAAGCAATAACTTATGATTTGTGTGGTAATTGCTGCATGGAAGAGACACAATAATCTTGAATTAAAAAGCTTCAGCACTTGCTTCTATGGCTTCACACATCCCATGCGCTCATATGAAACTCACTAAATTTTACATTTATTATTTAATGGACTTAGTGCAGTGGTAGATTTGTATATTTTCCTCTTATTTTCTAAATATTACATGTACTGTATTACAAAATCCTTACCTCCTATGAAGTGAAAAATTGCCAAATTATTACAGGTCACAAAATAAAACCCTCCCATAGGAGCAAAATTCTGTACTTTTGCACAATGGAACATTCTTACATGTGTGTTTGCCTCTACAGGGGAAAATATAATTGTTTACAGAGTTCCAGAGGTGGCCTTGTGTATTAAATTACATCTTGCTCTTTAAATATTTTATGACTTCTCTTTACATGAAATAGCCACCTTGTGGAGGAAAATAATCATATTCTAAATGATTAGCCCTCCATTAAATATTATTCATATATGCTGAGTTTGCTTTTGCTCATAATTCCTAACTTTGCCCATATTTCCCCATTTTTACATCTGTTTCCCCCTCCCCCCCTTCTGTTTTTTTGTCCCTTTTCATCTTTTCTGGTTTGCCCCCCCCCCCCTTTCATGTCTCCTGGTCCTTGTTTCCTTGAATTTACCCCCATTTCTGTACTTTCCATTTTCCTCTCTGCTACTACTCTCCCGCTATATTTTGCCTCTCTCATTGTTGAGCCATTGGTTTTCCATCTTCTTGAAATGATTCAGAATACAGTACTGTACTACATTCCAAAACCAAAAATTCACATTAAAATTTTGTAATGTGCTTTTTTAGTAATTGAGGCTATACAGTATTTATTTTTCACTGGCTCACTTTTAATAAGCAAGCATTTTTTTTTTTTTTTGGGTGTGTGGATTTTGTTTATTAATACTTGAGAGCTTGGTCTGTTTTCCTGTCTTAAGCCATGCTTGTCTCTTACTTGACATTACTTTATCCTAAACTGTCCACTTTTCCAGGACCATAAAGCTTTATTTTGATACATTTTGGCTTTATTATTTAAAACTGAATAGGAAAGAAGAAAGCCCATGATAGATCTTGCCTTGCTTAGCCTAAGTGTATAGGAACTAACTATATATTATCTTGGCTCCTATATGATAAATATCTAGTTAATTGGAAAGTGGTAAAATTAGAAGCCCCAAAATCTACTGTAAGGGCTCGGTAATCCGAATTCCAATAACCCAAATCTTTGGACAATCTGAATTCATGTTCATCATTTTTGAGTAAACAATGGGAGTGTACAGGCAAACAATGAAAGTACAAATGTTAATTTTTGGGCACTCCTAGTAAGAAACTCGGCTAACTTGACTGTTTGGCTAGTTCGAATGGGGATAGACCCTGTATGATTCGGAATACTGAGTGTAGACAGTACAGTGTATAGTATTTTCAAAGTTTACAGTTGCTAACTTTCAATAAAAATGAACACGCTCCACAAAACGCACAAACCCCCCATGTTTGACAGCCCCGCTCCCACACTCAATAACCTACACTAGACACCGCCCTCGACCCCATTTCCCTACACTACAATGCCTCTGCCTCCACAATGCCTCTGCCTCTACAATGCTTCTGCCTCTACACTCAACAGTCTCCCACATATAACCCTCATACAAAATCCACAACTCGATGAAAAGACATGGACCAAGCTCTTGGAGTTTTTGTGCATTAACTGCTATTATCAAAGTGTGGTCTGGTTGACCGTCATATTCTGCTGCATGGCTGTGCAAGGTGTGGTTGTTTCAGACGTGGAAGCGGAGAAACAAGCAAAAGCTCATCTTGAAGCTGTCGAGGGCTTCAATTCCGCCAACTTGAAGCATGCAAATACCCAAGAAAAAATTGTTTTACCAGCAAAGGAAGGTTTGTTTGTAGGAGTTGATTTGGGTACTGCATTTGTTTGTGTATGTGGAGGAATTTGAAGAATTCAAGCAAGATCAAAATATATATGTTCACTGTAGCATTAAATCTTTAGGTTTATGGTTAGCATAAACTTGTAAAGCATGATTATGAATATTTTCTTAATGAAATTGCTTATTTGTAAATTTCAATCACTGGTATGTATAATTAAAATGATTGAACTATCTAGTGTGAAACTATGTAGTGTGGTGGTCAGATTCTATAAAGTAGCTATATGTTTGAATGCCAGAATGCTGAAAGTGTAACACACAAGTATTGGGTAGCCTACTGTTGTGTGCATAAGATATGTGGATTATTAAGGGCAAGTTTCCAAACAAAGAATGTAAGGAGAATAAAGCTAAGGGTGCACACTTGTTTCACAATGGGCATTGTAGACTGTTTTAGGTGATGTTTTGATTTGACTGATGTAAAACCAGTTCCTTTACCTGTGGGTGTTTGAGTTTATATATTTTTGTGTTTGTGGTGGGGGTGTTGGTCATATTTGTTTTATTCAATAATGGAAAATTGCTGTACAGTATTACAAACCTGTGCACATGAACTGACTGATCATTGTAACATTGTGAGCGTGTAATGGGCATGATTGTTAGTATATTTTATAATCAAGGGGAGGAGTGGCTTTAGGTAGTGTAGTTTAGTAATTGTTAATAATTTTAGGAACACTTGTGTATTTGATACACGGTTTCATTTTGAATCAGATCATATAATGTTTTGCTGGATAATTCCACCTGCAGATATTGAAACGGAACGAACACACCAGAGCATATTCCAGGGAGTAACTGGTTTTGATAAGGCATCTATGCGACATGCAGAAACACAGGAAAAAATTGCCCTACCAGCCAAAGAAGGTACAAGTTGGGACATTACCTCTTTGCTAATAAGTCATCACATTGAATATTAACAATAAAATGGCTGTTAAATTAGTAGCATAAAAAGGGGGCTAATTAAGTAATTCTAAATAAAATTGCTTATGAAATACATTAATTTTAAATCTCGACTAACATTTACTGTGGCAAATGTTAAATGTTTTAAAACCCTGCATGATCTTTGCATCAGTACCAGTACTGCTTATACTAGTAATGTAAAGTTTCAAAGCTAGCTAATCAACTGACAAAGTTCTTATCTCCAGTAGGAATCTTCATAAATAGATTAAATACAGTATCATGGATGGATTGTAGTGTGATGGTCTGAGAAAGGCTAAAATGCCTTCTGATTCACTAATACAGAAATGTGGTTAGTGTGTGAATGGAGGACTTTTTTTGGGTCAGAAAACTTCACTGGTCAGGTATTATTCCTTGTATAGTACGTACTGTACAAGAGAATTGTTTACCCAATATTTCAACATGGTCAGTTTGACTGAAAGTGCAGTAATCAACCTCTTGCTTAAAGTAATGAGTTGTTAAATGTTTTAGTAAGATATAAATGGAAAGATGCAGTAAATACAAGCAAGTAAATTTTAGGAAATTAAACTGCCATGATTGAGTGAGATACACGGTAACTTAAGAAAAAATAAGTAGGAGCCATGAGGATGATTCAAACACGCACACTTGGTACTCCCAAGCCCATGCCATAGACTGCTACACCACAACATGGTAAAACCAATCTGGAATTCAACTGAATCTTCTAGGGGTCCTGATTCTTCCACTGAAGCGCAATCAAGGTTTCACATTGTCCTCCTGCACTCTGGTCCAGTAGGAGAAATGAGGAGGACCTCATGGGGCCTACTGATTTTTTCAGTTAAATAACATTATTGTGATTTCACTGTGCATTTGAAGAGAAGCATTGGAAGTAGAACACTTGGATATTTGGTGAGGAAGTATTAGTTAATATATTAAGAATGCAAGGAGAACGTGCAAGGTATGAAAGTTGCTGGAGAGGGGGAAACGGGTAATTTGTCCAGATCGGTTATCCAAATTAAATGACGGCTAGTTTAGGTTTAAAAGTATATTTTATGCATAATGAATTAACTTGTAGTGGACAGACTATTGAAAAGGATTAAGAGGGCATCAAATGACGTCTGAAACTGAGAATGAGTGGTTACGATCTTGCAGTGAAAGCATTTTGTGAGTACAGTAATGTAAACTAAGGTACAGGCATATTATAAACACACTGCAATAAATAGTATGGTGCTCTTCAATTTGCATAATGGATCCCCATTGTTGAGGCATTGCTGAATTAACCCTACAGTTTTCATGGGATAAGTTTTTATGTCTGTCTTGTCAAAGTAAATTTAGACATACAATGGAATGAAGCAAATTTAATGGATGAATTAATGAATCCAATAATATGTTATCAGTAGGCTTAAATACAACATTAAAATTATTCTGGTTAGAAGTAACGTATACAAATACAAAGGCTATCAAATAGGACAACAGGAGTGATAGTTATAATAGAAAGTGTATTTGAAAGGATGAGTAAGATAGGTACTTTTGTTTTCACAACTTCCATATATTTAATGAAGCAACATTTTGTAACCCATTTCCTGCTAACTATAAATGATTTTTTTATATATATATTTTGTGGCACGTCTCTTAAACTTATTTTGAGTTGAAACTTAATAAACTTGAATGCCTAACTAGTTAATTTATGGAATGCTAACTTAGCACAAATTTACTAAGCATTTTAATTTTGTTTTGTTGCTGAAGCCTGTATTTAATATGTGAGAAAGTGTATTCATTTTCTTAAGCCATTTCATATCTTAAAAATAAGCATTAGTTCTAAAAATGTTGCATTATTGTTTTTAAATTATAGTCAATTGATTTTTATAAGAATGCGCTGTAATAGTTATTACATTTGGTGTAATAGAAATACAGTATTTAAATAGCAGAAACTGCCATACTTGGCTACAATTGAAGGAGGTGGAGGAGTTGGGCTGAGATTATTAAGGGTTGTGCACATTGTCATATTCGTGTGGGTTTTCACTACAGCTTCATTTCACACAAAATGACATATTACATATGAAGGAAAATATTTTAACCGAGTAATATTGGTCAGTTTACTAGTGATATTGTTCTTAGTTGTTCATCTCGGTTGTGTTTATGGCTGTTCTATAGCACTCCTAAGGATATAATTCAGAAATTTTAAATAATTGTGGCAGGTAAATTGCTTTGCCCTTGTGGAGTGCTTGGGAAGAGTATTCAGTGTGCCATTTGTATCTGCTTTGCTTTTACTTGCTGGTTTGCTTTCCTACAGAGATGCCGTAGGCTTTAGACAATGGGTTATGGAATAGAAATGTTGATATTAGTACAGTACTGGCATTGTTTTTACTGCTAGTTGACTTTTGTTTAGGAAAAGTGCAGCTGCATTATGTTGATTATAGAGCATCAGCACAGTTATTGCATCTTGTGTATGGGCAGATTTTGTTATCCATTGCTCATTCTACATTCTTTATACAGTTATTTTACAATTTTTTGCTGAAATAAACCTATGCATATTTGTAGTAGGTTGGTGAATGGGTGCCTTTTAGAAATGCTTGGTTTTACTTTACATCCAAGTTTGTAATCGTACTTTTTTTGTATTTGACAAAATACTTGCTACATTTTTTTTTTTTTTTTTTTTTTTTTTTTTTTTTTTTTTTTTTTTTTTTTTTTTTTTTTTAGTAAATCGGATCTGGAGCTTTGCTTGCAAGATGAGCTTTACAGTTGCATAGGTAAAAATTGTATTCGCTGAAATTTGGGTCAACATCTATCTTAGACATAGTATTTCTGAAGTATGTTTTTTGTTTTTACTGTGGGGCTACAGATATCGAGACAGAGAAGACACACCAGAGCATATTCCAGGGAGTAACGGCATTTGACAAGTCACAAATGCGACATGCCGAGACTGAAGAAAAGGTTGCCTTGCCTGCCAAAGAAGGTATAAGATGCATGGAAAAGTCCATCCATGTCGGGAGTAGTGGAGTATGGTTTAGACTATAGTTTAGTCTCCTGTCTACTCGTTAATATGGCCTTTTGATGTACATTACTGTATTCCAAAATATTGCTTCACATTCATTTCAAAGTAAGGTAGAAAAATCATTTTTGCACAAACAATACTGTTTATTCTGATGTAGCAAGATTTTCCTGTATGTTTGTTTATCTGTAAAGGAATTTCAGTATTTGTACTAGTGCCCCTTGGGTTTTGATGCCATTACAGTACTAACTAACTAGTACTTGAATTTACCCAAGATCCACCATCTATAGTGGCTTCAATGAGGAAAGGTTTATACTCGCAAAGAAATACGGTAATTGGGTGCAATTCACTGATGACAAAAAAGTGCTATTGAACACCCCATTAATAATAATTTGCAATAAATTTTTGTTTTTTTGCAATGAAGGAATGTTATGGAATTCAGTTTGATTTCATATTAAACTATTTATGCAGCTTTCATTGGTAATGGGTATCTTATCTTTGCACTGTTTAAATATTAATAAGATTCCAGCTTCGGTGTTCCATTTTGTAAATACAAAACACAATTTTCTCTTATTTTAAGGTACTGTATTGCTCTAAGGTATAACTGTCATGTGGTGTTGGCTTACTAAAATGCGTTGTATACAAAAGGGTAAATGCACTTTGGTACTGTACGGTATTTAATATTCTAGTGAGTAATATTGTATTTAAATGCAGCAGTCATAGAGAATTGTTTGTGATTGTATTCTTCGCTGGTTAACACCATCATACATTTTAACTCTTTAGTATATAGTATTTTCATACTTTTTGAGACCTAGTAATACAAACTGAACATGGTTATTTTGTAAAGCACTGCAAGGAGTGATTGTAGCTTCCTATTACTGTACACTATTCATTGACAAGATAATAATGTTCAGTCCAGCAAATGCGTTACCATGGCCGCCTGATATATTATTTGCAGCGACGTTGGTATTGAAAGAATGTGTGTTCTGATTTTTAGTGCAAATTGTTAATTGTCCTAGTTAGAAGAGGTTTCTAAATGGATTTTATGACATCCAAAAGAATTATCAAAATCATTATTGTCTGCTTGAACATAATTTTTTTAGAGGCGAGTTTTTAGTTTGTAAATGTTGTTTGTAATATCATGGGAAATTAAATCAATTATTTTGTACCTTTTTCCCTCGGAAGCAATCACTACTACTGTATGTCCAGATTGATGAGCATCGAGAGGGTGGTTGTACGTGAAGCCGAATTCTTTGCTTAACTTTGTGTTTTTAGCTTTAATGGGTTTTGTTTCTGTACTGAACTTTATTTCTTGTGCTGTCATCCAGATATTGAAACGGAAAAAGCACACCAAAGACTTTTCCAGAGAATTACTTCCTTTGATAAATCCACCATGCGGCAGGTATCTACAGAAGAAAAGGTTGTCCTCCCTTCTCCTGAAGGTGACGTTCATACCTTAATTTGCTGTGGCAAGCACTTAACATATGAGTGACCATAATACATAATGTATATACTGTATATGCATTGTATATGAGCATTCATGTACATAGTTTAACTGGCTTAAGTAATAATGCCTTGATGCACTTGATTTTTATTTTTAATACTACCCCTGTAACATTTTGACAAATTTGCTTATTGAATTATATAAGCTGTCTTTACTTAGCAAGATGAGTACTTGTGTGTAATTACCCAAGTGAATTGGTAATTGTGTGTGTGTGTGTGTGTGTGTGTGTGTGTGTGTGTGTGGCATGTTGACTCTTGGCATTTTACAGGCCCTGTTTCACCCTACATTCCACAGCTGCTTCTCCTTATCACCCACCCAATTTTACTTAAAAATTTTGTCCCATTATTAAACATTTGTACTTTTAATCGTGTAAGTGTTTATGAATCTCACTTTTTATGTACCGGTACTTTTATAGGAGAGTTGTTGTTTCAGTGTCATTTTTAAGTTATTAATGCATTTCTAAACTACTAGTGTGTAAGTAACCTTTGTTAATGAGTGTCTGAAAAAAATATAAATGTCAAATTTTGTTGTTCTATACTTTTTGAAAATGGTTGTACAAATGTTGGAGGAAGCTAATTATTAAACAAGATGCACTACTTGGCAGATATTGAGACCGAGCGAGCCCATCAGGGTATATTTCAGCGATTGGTTTCCTTCGACAGAAGTGAGATGAAGCACGCGGACACAAAAGAGAAAAATGTTTTGCCCTCTAAATCAGGTGGAGGAGCATGGTAGTTTGCGTAATGTGTGGTGTACCTTTGTCTTGTGGAGCTGATTTACGTTATAGAAATAACAAATTTTGATATTTCGGAACTGTTGCTGTTTGCTCTTGAAGATGCTAAAAAGCATATAGCAATAATCTTAAAATGGTTTACTAAATTGCCTCTCCATTGGATGTTCTCAATTTGCCATTAGCTGCCAAGTTGAACAAAGGCTTAATTTTGAGGGCGTTCCATTTCATACTCGGCATGCAGATTTTGAACATCGAGAGTGAATAGTTGTGCCCATAACTACGTGCATCCACCCATGTGCACCTCACCCGTGCACACTCAAATAAGTGTAAGGTTTTCATTGGACTGTTAGCCTGATATTAGGAGTGTTATAACTAATGGTTTGTGGAGAAAATTGTTAACCTGATACTAAGAATTGTTTTGATTTAACTAATAGTTTATGAAAGTTAATGTGTTTGAGGTTGTTAGTAAACACTTGTCCATTTAAGTCTTAATCCTAACAGAGAGGATGCAAGATTTGTAATGCTTACTTATTGCATGTACTAAAGTTTAAGTACTGTATTAATTTTTACTTACTGCTTAACTTTGAAAAAGGTAATCTCTAAATAAAAATTGTGTAAAAAAATGGAATGGCTGTTTAGGAAGATTTATTATATACTGTTCATTGTTTCAGATATTGATGCGGAAAAGGGTCATCAGGCCCTACGTGAGGGTATCGAGGGATTTAATCCTTCTGCCCTGAAAAAGACTGAAACGCTGGAGAAATGCAAACTCCCTACTAAGGAAGGCAAGTATAGTAATTGAGATTTAATTTGACAGGTTTTGTAGATGAAAAAAAACATTTTGGCTAACTAGCTGGATCAGGCTTGGACCTGCCTGAATTTTTGTGAACTGGATTCAAAGAACTTGTAGTAAAATATTACAAGATTAATTTCAAGACAATGAAAAGTAACCCTTTACAAAATGCTGTGTGTAAAAGTTTGTGAAGTACAAGCATTGTAACAATATGGTGAATGTTAGTGTACTTCTGGCAGCTTTCTGGCAGCCTGGCATACCTTGGTTGGTATGCAAATAAGGTTTTTAATGTGCTACAAACATTGTTATTCATGCAATAACACTGCCTTGCTATTTAAGGGAGTATTTAGTTCTCATCTTCCCCCAAGAAGCAACTTGCAATAGATGTAAAACTCGCTGATATACAAGTTTTTTTAAAAAAGTTGACCATCATTTGCGATGTAAATATGAGTAACTACATAGTCTAGGCAAATAAAACTAAACAGGCTTCATGTTGATCCAAATAAGATTTGTTCATTAAAATTCAAATGAGAATTTTTGTGGATTTCATGAACGATTTCACAGGTTTTCAATATGCGCACTGCCTGTGACCTGGCACACTTATAGCAAGTCCTTCATATGCTAAACTGTGGCATGGGGATTTTGTTCGACCCAAATGCAAACACAGCATTATGTTTGTTGACTTTGCCATTCGTATGAAATGTGGCCTCATCACTGAAAACCAAGATGTTCAAACTCTTCAAGGTTCATATGCATATCAACACAGAATTGCTTACACTTTTGCTTGTCATCGTGTCTTTAAGGACTGAACGAGCTGCAACTTATAGGTTATCATTAGCAAACGTTTCCTTGTGACACGCCAAACTGTCATTGGAGGAATCTGGGTTTCCAGACTTGCTCTTTTTATGGACTTCCTGGGGCTTTGCAAAAATGTTTCCCGATCCCACTCGACCATCTCTTCCGGTACTGGTGGTCGTCTAGAGCCTTTTGCCCTGCACAGACAGCTTTCCTCTTTGAACTTTTTGTGCCATGTCCAAATTTGCATTGCATTTGGTGCATTTTTAGCGAATTCTCTCATGAATGCACGCTGCACATTCTTGTTCAACTGTGTTTGAGCACACTAAACACACACAACCCTTTTTTCCAGTGAATGGCATTTCTACAGCTGAAAAGAAAAAATATTATACATAGATTTTTCAGTTGTTTCTACACATGCTTTTAAAATTTGAGATCATTTGAACAAGAATTGGTAAAGTTATTAGATTAAGAAATTATATAAATTTTTCTGAAATGTCCTGTATTATCTGGCAACCTATTCTTTAAACCTACAATCCTATTTCTAAACCAGTTTTTTCCTGAATTTAAACTTTCCTAATTTACAGTATTTATAACATTTCTTATTCTATTTTGTGTTAATATATTCAGCACTGTTAGTATCCCTTTTGTTAAACCTTTTAATAATTGGCATACTATACTTCAAACATACCCTTCCTTTCTCATCACCTTTCTTGAGAATGTAAATTAAGATTTTTAAAAGTATATCTGTAAAGTAGGTTCCAAATTTCTTGAATAAACAGTCATTCTTTTCTGCACGTGTTCAAAACAATTGATTCATCTTATAGTAAGGTGCCTATACTGTGCTGTAATAATGTAATATGGGCAAGAAAGCTGACAAATATTTGATTTCACATGACTTAACGTTTCTGGATATGAATCCCAGTATCCCATTTGCCTTATTTCAAACATTTATATATTGAATTCTTGACTTACGGTTTCTTCTAATTATGGATTCCTTATCTTTTGCATTTGGATGTGGCAGTTTCAAAGTTGTTCAGTTGATTTATGGTAAAACACTTTCCTAGACTGTACCATTATCAGTTATACTGTAGACACTTTCGGCCTCGTGTGTGTTTATTTCTTTAGTGTCATTCACTTTAGTGTTCCCATTCCATTCAATGTTTATACACTGTATATGGTAAACAGGTTTGAGAAGCATGTCCTAGATTAGATCACTGTATTCACCTTACTTTTAAAGCTCTTACAAATTGAAAAATCAATAATTGTGCTTGGGTATGTGTGACTACACAAATACCGAAACTTTTATACGGGCTACTTTCATCTAAAGAGTGTTAACAATAATAATCTGTACACTGAAACTAATTAGTTTTTGTTCTTGCAGAGATTGAGCAGGAGAAGAAAGCCTAATAGAGTGGTGCAGCAGTGGTGTGTGTTGCGCGTCCAAGTGATATCCTTCTCCCTGCTCCCCTGAGCTTCCTCGGGAGTTCTGCAAGCCAAAATGTTTTGTACTTTGATAATCTAAGTATATAGGTAAAAAACTGATTTTGTAACCTGATATCATATGCTATTCTTTGAGTCATTATTTTTGCTTTAATGTTAAGAACAAGGTGCTGATTGATAGCAAGGCGTTGGCAAGAAACTTTTTAGGGCAATTCGAAGATGGAGTATTTAATTGCTTTTGCACTTCTTCAGTTAATTGTCAGCGATGCTAGTGGACCAAATTTTTACCTTGCTTTCGTCTTGTGTTTAGAAGGTAGAGGTCTCCCATACAGGTAATGGAAAACTGCCAAAAGGTACAAGAGTTCTTATAATTTTGAAGGAAAGCAAGTTTGATAAGTCTATTTTTAAAGGTTATTTAGCATTCAATTGTCAGCATTTACTCAAAATCATTAAACATTGACTATTTTATTTTTTATTTTTGCTTTTTGGGGCATCCAAATATGTGATTTTGGGAGTCAATAAAATGCTTTTGTATGTCATTGTTTATTTCATCCATTATTTTACTAGATGTACTATTTTCAATTGATTTTCATTCCAGTTCATTTGCAGTTAAGTTAATTTTAATGTATTGGTAAATATATTCATTAAAAATATTATGTAAGTGATCAGAATCTCCTGGATAAATGTGATGCTTTTCGTCCTCTTTAAGATATGGAAAGAAATGATATGAAATAAAATGTATGTCTAACCATATTCTTAACATGATCTTGCACTAATCACCCTCATTGCACAAGCTCTGTAAATGCAAATAACAGGAATAAATTGAATTAAATACCTTGGCACCCCCCCTTAACCCCCTGCAACTGTTAAAGTGAATTTTACTGTACCCCTCTTGGAAAAAAAGGCATGATTTACAAAGTGCGTAATTTTACAGTTATGCTGTACTGTATTTTTATTTTTAATCCCAAAGCATATACACAAACTTGTTGAAAAAATGTGAACTAAAATTTTAATGCAGATTTTGAAAAAGGAAGTTATGATCTCCTTTAGATTATTATTCCTACCGATTTTCCTACTCTTGAAAATATTAAATACTTCTCTCTTAGCTTACACTGAACCAATTTCAGTGATTATTTTATGTACTCCAGTTTACCATTCTATGAAGGCCCTCTCATTAACTACCCAGGCCTTAGAAATAGTACCTGAGAACTTGTCTTTGCCTACCAGGAGCCAGGACTAGAATCTGGTTCTTTGCTTGGGGATCAAAGATCAAGCCAAGGAAATCTCTACCAAGAATAAATTTACAAAAAAAGCTCCTGCTTGAAGAACAAGTTTACCCTGAGGTAAAAAAGGGAAATGCTGCGATGTAAATACAGTACTCTCGCTATTATATACCAGATGGCAGCCCAGGTCACTCCAGCCTGTTCTATCTCATTGCCATCACAGACTCTGAATGATGTACTAAAACTCATAAACCTAACCGACCATAACCTACCAAACTATGCATAGAAAATGTGATTGTTCCTTAGCTGTTATGGTTTATAGTACCACATTATTTGTTGGGAATTTTGACATCAATATGTGATGTATTATTTGAGAGGGCGAGTTACCACTTTGTCTTGCATCATTCTGGAAGCATTTCTCTGACAGGGCCCATCCACTATGTTGTGCTCTCGGCTAAATAGTGGCATCTTCCTGGAACACTAGTTTTGATGTGGGTAATTTCCCCTCCCCCTTTTGTATTGTGTTTTTATGCCACCAACATTACATGCCCTATCTTTGTATTTCACGATGGACAGGGGTTTACCTTTCATAGTAATCAATTTGTTTGCTTTGCCCCACCATAGATACTTGCTCATGTTTTGGGGGTTTGAGGCGAGTGTATGGTTCATAGTTTTGGTTCTTCCCCACAGAAGGTTTGTGTGATCTTATCTCTTGCTGCTTTTTGGCTGGGCTCACTTAGGATCTATTTCCACAGTTCTATCTGTTTTTCTTGTTTTTTTTCTTCTCTTCCCTAGAGTTGAGGTGAGGTTCATGGTTTTACCAGCCTTGGCCAGTTTTCCCGCTACTTCTGTCTGGGCTGTTCCTCGGCCCCCTCTATGCTTGCGTTGCACTTCTACATTTGACAAGTGGCTGGTGCCCCTCTCCCCAGACCTTTGTCTACTGCTGCCCTCTCTCATAGATCAGCCTCGGAAATATTTTTGTTTGCTAATGTCAGCCTCTTCTGACCAAGGTGGTGGTGTAAGCTTGGAGCTATTGAGCAACTCCTTTGGAAGAAAATCAAGCTTTATAACAAAGTTTCCTTTTCTGGTGGGCCTTAAGTAGCTCCTTAATTACTGGCCAGTTTCCTCCTTTCCTATTGCATTTTAAACCGTTTTGTATGGGGGTGGCTTGTGGGTATGGTGGCAGTCTGGCTGGGTACCAAGGTGTGATGTTCTGATGGCAGTCAGGCACAAATTGTTCTGTTTACCTCTGGCTATAATAAATTTTCTTCAAATTATGGCTTGTTTTGCGTGTTGCCTACTTTGAGTTTATCTCAGATCGCCAAGTTCCCCTTTCCTTGTAGAGAGGCAGGTTCTTGTTCTGGCTTCCAGTAGGTAAGGATGGCAGTACCAGAGTCTTGGTTGAGGGAGCTACTGGGGGTCCACCATAAAAGGTTTTCATTCGATGGTTGAGTATTTTGTACTTGCCAGTATGAGAAGTTATAATCCTCACATAAATCCTCACATGAATTTAATTTTAGATGGCTTGTGTGGTAGCTGTTGGAGTTGAATTTAAATTTACACTAATAATTCTTTGCAGCAACAGCTGAATTGCTTTTACATATCTAATACAATGGCAGAATTTGAAGCTCCTGAGCCATTAATCAATATATACTGCTCTTTATTTTCATTGACTTGGGATTTTTTTTTAATAATAATAATAAGCCAGGGACAGACGATCAGCTAGCCTGTCCCCTGGCTTTTTCACCTTGCGCTTTTGCCTGGTGTTGTATAGCTCACTTCATCCACAGACCCTAAGATAGGCAACAGGTGCCTTGTAACTTTCTCCACCTACCAGTTCACAGTAATGATGAATTAGCTCGAACCAAAAACCTAAACAGTCAGGCTTCAGGTGCCAGAATGCTCTCTACACCAAGCAAACTATAGTCTGTTACTAAGTACCAGATAGCTCACTATATTCAAATTCAACAAGCTACAGTAGTAGGTGCCAGGTAGATACTGCCATTCATTGTGCCACACATGAATCGAATGCAAGGTAGTTGGATAGCTCCACCCACCTAGTGGCAGTTGGGCATTTGACACCTTGCAGCTAAATCCACCCACTAAGACATATTCAGGTATCAGACATCAGGTAGCTCTCTCCACTTACTAAGCCACAGTTGGGTTTGAAGTGTCGGGTAGCTCATTTCAACCAAGCCAAAGTCAAGTACCAGGTAGCTCACTCTAACCAATCCGAAATCTAGCATTTGGTGTCGAGTAGCTCGTGCTATCCACCAAGCTGTAGTAAAGCATGTGACACTGGTAACTCCACCTATGAAGCCAGTCACGCATTCCTGTATGTGGCAATTTGCACAGACATGCTCCATGATGGCACCGGGACACTACAACAGGAAATTTGCACCCACTGATGAAAATTGTTATACTACACTAATTATTTTTTAGTTTCTACTTTAGAACTCTTGCCTACACCAAATCACAATGGAAAAAAAAAAATCGGAGTACAACAAATACAACTCATATTTATAGGACCTATTTACAATACAGTACCTACTTTTTGCTCAATCTAGGATAAAGACAATGTATATATATGGGACAAAATGGTCACATAGCTGCAGTGAATGTCATCCAAGGAGGAAGGAAATAAATAGAAATGTTTCATCATTCCTCCAGTAAGTAAAATATTGGGAAAACCTACACCATTTACAGATGTGTAATATCAAAAAGTCACAGCTGATCTGGGACCCCTGCATGCCACAAATTCCAGCCCAACATAAGTTGATGAGGCACAGACCTCTTGCATATTGAAAGAGCTTAGTAATAATCATATCAGTCGAGCATGAATAGCTTATATTTATCCACTCAGCCACCATGGATCCTAGGGTGTCAGATATCTTGACACAACAAGCCATAGTCAGGCATCAAGTACTTCACTCCACCCACAAAGCCTTTTGCATACTGTATTTTGTAACTTCATCCATCAATCCAGTCTTGAATCTGGAGGCAGCTAATTCACTTCACGCAACCTGCCACAGTCTAGCACCAGGTGGCTCTCAACCAACCGAGCAACAGTCAGGCTTCAGGTGCCAATAACTTACTCTGTCTACCTACCAAGCCATGGCAAGCATCAAGCATCCAGTAGCTCACTTTACCCACCAAATTAGCCAGACATCAGGTACTTGCCTTTGAATCTTTTTCAATGAGTATTGGGAAGTGAGGTCTAGCTCTTTATACCCCACCTACTAGCCTCATTATACCTGTTGTATTATAATTTAACTTGACTGATGTTTGAATTATTTGTCAAATCTGGATAAAGGTGGCTTCCATAACTTCCTTCAGTGCATTCCACTTGCTGAGCACCCATACAGGATATAAGTATTTTCTTACATTTCTTTGACTCATTTACATTTCCAACTTTCATTTATATACTGTAATCCTACTTTGTGAATTTAAAGAGGCTGTCTTTATCTACCTTGATAATTCCCTTAGTGCCATGTAAGTTGCGATCATATCTTCTGTTTTGCTTTACTCCATAAGGGTTGTGAGGTCTAGTTCCATTAACTTATCCTCATAGCTTAATCCACTTAGCTCTGACACTAATCTTGTTGCAAACCTTTGTATGTTAATATTTTGGCTTTATGCTTCACAGGTAGAGATTCCATGCCGGTACTGCATTTACCATTATTAGTCTAACAAAGGATGTGTAGATTGCCTCGAAAGAGTTGTGACTTAGACTTCTAAACAAAGTTCTGATGTTCAGCAGTGTTGGCCCATATGTTGTCTAGGTTACTCTGTGTGCCTCTGAGGATATTGTTGGAATTATATCCTCTCCAAAATCTCTCCAATTCCTGTTGCTGATTTTCCCTTATGGTGTATACCTCCTGTCCTCACTTCTCCCTTTCCTATCTTCATTACCTTACACTTGTTGAGACTGAAATGTAGCAATCTTTAGTTTGCCCACTCTTGGCATTTTTGTCAAAGTTATTCTATAACTTTCTAAAGTCTTCCTCTATTTTCATATTCCTCATTAGATTTTTCTCATCTGCACACATACTGACAAAGCTCAAGCTCATTCCCTCTGGTAAAGTCATTTACATAAATTAGAAGCAGAAGTGCTCCCAGGCTCAAGCCTTGGGAATGCCACATGTTACATTTCTATACTAGGTATTACAGGAGTAAGTGCTAGGTAGCTCACTCCACCCACCAAGCCTCAGGTATCGGGTGCTAGGTAACTTGCTCCAGCTAACAAGCCACAGGCAGACATCAGGTGATAGGTACTGTACCTCACTAAAGCCACATGAAGACATCATATGCTAAGAGCTCACTCCACGGCATCAGGCACTAGGTAGCTCATTCCACCAAGCAAGCCTTTAGGTGGTTTGGTCAACAAACCTTTAGATATTTGAGGGAGACCCTTTAATTTAATGGTAGTACAGTTTGGTCCATTCTTTACTCAAAGTTGGGTATTCCGGATTTATATCCCCAGCAGGGCAGGTTGGGATCGTTTCCTATTACTTAATGACCTGTTTACCTAGCGGTAAATAGGTACCCAGGAGTTAGCTTGTTGTGGGATTGCATCCTGCGAAAGGTTAATAGTTCGACCCTGCAGGGGGGAGGCTAGACTTAAGCCTAACATGTATATAGACACTGGCTGCCTGTTCCCTGACACAATGAATAGTTGATTATTTTTCAGCATTGAATATAACCATATGTTTAATCTTAGCAAATTTGTTATAGCAATTTTAAACCGATTTGACTCATAATTTGCAAGTCTTAATCTAATACTACTTGGCAGAGGCAGTCCGGTAAATATTGTAAAAAGCAATGCATTATATTTTATTCTCAAAGTTACCGCTTATCAGTTTCTTGGATGGCATCAGAATTGAAAGTCAAGCCAAATACAAGAATACAAATACAAACAAAAAAGTTATAACATCTGGTTCAAAATACAATTTTTAACAATAGTGCAAATTATCTATGGTAGTGAACTATAGAATCTGTAAAATGCTAAGCTAGATCAGACTAAATCCGCATTTTTTTTTTGGGGGGGGGGCCTGTCCTTAAAATCCACACAGTAATGGGCTTGCCATACGTGACTTGCCGAACCGCTAATAGCATTAGCTGCGTTTTCATGCATTTGCCGATCATTGCTCACGATCTTACCTATAAATATAAACAATAACAGGTACTGTATAAGACAACTCAGGAATTACACTCACAGAGGCATGTATTCTAAATCAGGCATGTCAAACTGAGGGTCCCCCGAGGGCCATATGGACCATATTTGTGCTGTCATGAGGGCCACACACCACAACCAATTGAAATAATTTAATAAAAATTATTGCAGAATATTTTTATTACTTAAACTTAGAAACATAGAATGCGCATTCAAATGGTTTAACGGCTAGCTACAGTCATGAATGTAAAGTAATGAAGAAATTTAACAAAAGAAAAAACGAAATTTTGAACGGCAACATAGACGTACTGTAAATGCAACAGCAACAAATACATTGTACAAAAAATACAACAGCAGTACCTCAAAATTAACAGTTATTTACGACTATTCAGTCATTTTTAGTGTTTTTTCTGAGGCTTAACACCTCTTTTTAATGACAATTTTTGCAATGTCTGTGCAGTTCCCACTTTGATCAGAAATGACAAGTGTTGATCAGTCAGCCTTGTTCTAAGAGAAGGAAATTAGCTGTTCACACACATAGGTAGAACCGAACTATAAACAGTGATAGTTTAAATTCTAAAAACTGTAATTTTGGCCGTTAAATACCAAATTACAGTATCCTTTGTGCGGGCCGCAGGTGTGCTTGTAAAGGACCGCATGTTTGACATGCCTTTGAAATCACGTTGGTTGTTACAGGAGCTGTGGCTAGCGTGGACGACCCTGTAAGTAGCCCCTAAATCTGCCGATGATAGAAGGCACGATGTACCGTGGCGCTAAAACAGGTATTTGTATATATGCACGAGATGTATACATATCTGTATGAGGCTAATACCTCATTGCTTAAATTAAGCAATGTATGTATTTCGTCAATATTTGTCTTAGGACTTCAACTTTACACCTTATATTATATGTAATTCATAAGCTAATCAAATTAGTTAGATCATGTTGGAAACAATTACAAATGTAAACACCTGCACAGTACATTTATAAATAAAAAATATTTAATGCAATTCAAAGTTCTAACAGAAACACAAACTCAAATTGCCCCATTTTCTTGAGCAGAATCTCTCATTGTATCATGTATTTCAGGCAAAATTGATGAGAGCACATTACATTATATATGTCCTGGCTTCCCCCCCCCCCACCCTCTCTTCCTTCTCTCCATCTACCCCCCCCCCAATCTTCCCCTCTCTCTCTCTCTCTCTCTCTCTCTCTCTCTCTCTCTCTCTCTCTCTCTCTCTCTCTCTCTCTCTCTCTCTCTCTCTCTCTCTCTCTCTCTCTCTCTCTCTCTCTCTCTCTCTCTCTCTCTCTTATCCTCTCACTCTTGCCCTTTCACTCCACCTCTCCCCCCACCCTAGTATCAGTATCACACCCCTCTGAACTTCCGGCCAGCGACCCGCCCACCGGCTGCTGACCTCCACCCTCCCCCGTCCTCCATTTGTGGTGTTGATAGTGGAGGTGACTGTGGTGACGGGCAAGCTTCTTCACTATTACGTATTACAGCGGAACTAGAGGAAGAAACGTGCATGGCGGTTTGGCAGAGGGTTAAAAATAGCTCTTACATACGTTTGTTAACATAGAAGAAAGGAATCTAAGGATTATTCTTTTATTTGTGGAGTTTTTTTGGCATTATATGAATACTCATTGCTTAAAATGCTTAAAAACTGAAAACAATAAATAAAATCGATAACATGAAGCGGTACTTAATTACAAAAAAGAGCTCGACTGCCTAAACTGAACTCTGCGGGTGTTTACACTCTAGAGTGAACTCTGTGAGAGAGCCGCTAGTGTGTGTAAGTCGTCATCCACTTCGGGTTAGTCGCTGCCAGTCCTGTCGCACTTAACTGGGAGAACATGCCCACAAGGTGCCTCTTGTTGGTTTTAGTGGTAAGTGGGTTTGTAGTTAAATTAATGGTGAATGGTTTTAATTATGAATAGTTTTAGTTGTGAATGGTTTTGTGAATATTTTTAATGGTGAATGGTTTTTTATTGTGAATAGTTTTAATTGTGAATGGTTTTAATTGTGAATGGTTTTAATTGTGAATGGTTTTAATTGTGAATGGTTTTAATTTTGTATGGTTTTAATTTTGTATAGTTTTAATTTTGTATGGTTTTAATTGTGAATAGGTTTAATAGTGAATGGTTTTAATTGTAAGTGCCATAAATGACTTTACTTGTAAATATCTGCTGGTGAATGGCTTTAATGTTAAATGATTTTATTGAGAAGCAGCTTTAATGGTGAATGATTTTACTGATAAGTGGCTTTAATGGTGAATCGTCTTAATGGTGAGTGGTTGTAATGGTGAATGGTTTTAATGGTCAGTATGGCCTTATTGGTGAATGATTTTACTGAAAGTGACTTTAATGGCGAATGGCTTTAATGGTAAGTGGATTTGTTGGTGAATATTTTTAATGGTCAGTGGCATTAATGGTGAATGATTTTAATGTTCATTGACGTTAATGGTAAATTGTTTAAATAGTGAGTGACTTTAATGGTAAATGGCTATAATGGTGAATGGTTTTAATGGTATGTGGTTTTAATTTTTAATGGCGAATGGCTTTAATCATGAGTTCCTTCAATAGTTAATGGGAAAATGAGCTCCCAGCCCGCTGGGAAGTGGATAATATAGTTCCGATATACAAACAGAGGAAGACAAAAAGAAATGAACCATAGACCATTATTACTAACAAACATTCCCCTGCACGTTATTAGTGACAAATCTACAGTCTGTTAGTATGTACACTTAGGTGAGTACATCAAGAGAGCGCACGCACGCGCACACACACACACACACACACACACACACACACACACACACACACACACACACACACACACACACACACACACACACACACACACACACACACATGGGAGATGAAGTCCTTCATGAAACTGACAGAGAGAAAGATCTAGAAGTTGATATCACATCAAACCTGTCTCCTGAAGCCCACATAAAAAGAATAACATCTGCAGCGTATGCGAGGCTGGCTAACATCAGAATTGCCTTTAGGAATCTGTGTAAGGAATCATTCAGAGCCTTGTATACCGCATATGTAAGACCAATCCAGGAGAATGCGGCCCCGGCATGGAGCCCGTACCGTATCAAGCACAAGACGAAGCTAGACAAAGTTCAGAGGTATGCCATTAGGCTTAGTCCCAGAACTAAGAGGGCATGAGTTACGAGGAAAGGCTGCGTGAAATGCACCTCACGACACTGGAAGGCAGAAGAGTGAGGGGAGACATAATCACAACTTATTATATTACAAAATTCTCAGAGGAATTGACAGGGTAGATATAAGGATAGACTGTTTAACACGGATGGTACGCGAAGAAATGGGCACAGGAGGAAACTGAGTACCCAAATGAGCCACAGGGACGTTAGGAAGAACTTTTTCAATGTCAGAGTAGTTAACAGCTGGAATGCATTAGGCAGTGATGTGGTGAAGGCTGACTCCATACACAGTTTCAAATGTAGATATTATAGAGCCCAGTAGGCTCAGGAATCTGTACATCAGTTGATTGACAGTTGAGAGGCGGGACCAAAGAGCCAGAGCTCAACCCCCGCAAGTACAACTAGGTGAGTACACACACACACACACACACACACAGACAGCACTCGGGGGTCGTAGTCTTAAGGGCCCGGGTTCGATCCCCGGGGAGGCAAAAACAAATGGGCAGAGTTTCTTTTACCCTGGTAAGCCTGTTCACCTAGCATTAAATATATATCTGGGAGTTAGCTGCTACGGGATGCTTCCTGGGGATGTGTGTGACTATGCTGGAGATAAATATATGTAGAAGAAATAATAGAGGAAAAATAAATTGGTGAGAAAGGCGGGGTCCAAGAGCTAATAGAGCTATAAGCTCCAAGAGCCAAGAACGGCTAATTCTGCAGTCTTAGAGGGAAGTCAATCCAGGAAGTGATGGACCAAGTCAAACTGAGATGCAACGAGGCAGAAGAGAGATTTATGCCAACAATTAGAGAAAAAGTAGGAAAGAATATGGGTTCAGAACCATGGGTTCTGTCTATTGAACCCATGGTTCAATAGACAGAACCAAGAAGCAAAAAACGAAAAGCAGAAGTGGAATAAATACAGAGGTCAAATGGCAGAGGGAAAACTAGAATATATGCAAAAGGGCTAGGAACGAATGCATAAATATAAAATGAGTGTTGGAAAGAAACTATGACTAAGAAAGAAACTATATTGCTTTCAAATGAAAGAAAAAGCAAAACCCCGTACATAGCCATATCAGAAGAAAAATTACAGGGAATGACCAAGTGACTAGGTTACGAAAATGGGAGGTGAATGCACAGTAAAATGATAAGAAGATTTGCGAGAAACTCAATGCCAGCTTCCATTGAGTGATCACACTTGATCCAGACCAGCTCCCAATGCTAGAAGAGGTTACCCCTAGATTAGAGACTGAAATATTGAGGTAACAACAGAGGAAGTAAGAAAACAAGTAGCATTACTAGACGAAACTAAAACATTTAGACCATCACCATGGATGTTAAGAACAAAAGTGCCACAGGCCCTCAGCACACCCCTAGCACTGATTTTGAATGTCACAATGGAGGAATTGCCCAGCTGCTGGAAGAAGGGAAATGTGGTACCAGTTTACAAGAAGGGCGATTAAGAAGAGTTATTTAACTAGACATTTTCATTGACAGGGATACCGTGCAAAGTACTCAAGAGAAATAGTGCTAGTACTATAATAGTGCTAATAGTAATAGTACTCAAGGGAAAGTGTGTGTTAGAGAAATATATGTAGTATAATAGAGGCAAAATAGATTTGTTAGAAAGGCGGGATCCAAGAGCTAATAGCTCGATTCTGCAGACACAAATATTAAATACAAATAGCAAATAAATACTTCTGCTTTTTCTTTGTCTGAGACTTGCTGCGAATTGATATGCCCGTGTCCCTTCTTGACCCCCTTCCTCTTACTATATCACTCCATGTCATCCTCCGCATACTCTTTACAACCCCACCCACTTCATTCCACCAACCACCATTTCATGTTACTAGTCACCCACTTCACGTCACCAGCCACCCACTTCAAGTCACTAAACATTATATTGACGTCATGGTCGCCTTAATTTCATCAACAAACGTAAATACTGAGATGTGTATGCTTTGCAGGGTGTGGGCGTGGTGTGGGCAGCGCCAGCTGAGAATGTGGGCGAGGTGTGGGCAGCGCCAGCTGAGAATGTGGGCGAGGTGAGGGCGACGCCAGTTGAGAGTGTAGGCGAGGTGTGGGTTGCGGCACCTGAGAATGTGGGCAAAGTGAGGGAGGCGCCAGCTGAGAACGTGGACGAGGTGAGGGCGGCGCCAGCTGAGAGTGTGGACGAGGTGAGGGCGGCGCCAGCTGAGAGTGTGGGCGAGGTGAGGGCAGCAGCAGGCGAGGACTGCCCACAGGTGTGTACCTGTGAGCACGCCCCACTCAAGGCAGCCCCATTCGTCCTCACCTGGATGACTTCCTGGGGCGAGGACGATCTTCCAGAGATTCATCCCAATGAGGTGAGTCCGATTGAGTTCAACAGGAAATGTCCATATCTTCGATGATTCCAGTAGGTTTTCCCTATAAAAGCTTGTCAAATCTAGCAGAGATACACAGTAGTGCCGATAAAGGGGTACAATGTGTAAGGGTAAGAGGTCAGTGAGGTCAAGGTGAAAAACTGCTTGAAATGAGATTTGTGACGTTCTGATTGTCCCAGTGAGGACAATTAACAGAAAGCGACCAATTGTGCCAAATAGGATAGCATTAGTGGTAGCAATTATAATTTTTTAATATAGCTTGAAAGTGTTTAATGGCCGCAGACTCTGTATACATAGTCATGGTTTCTTCTTTGATGATGATTTTATCGTCCATGAAGTTCATGAGGAGTGGGTTCCTGTATGCCACTAGTGTTGCTGGTGTTATCGACACGACAGACAGCCATGTTCGTAAATCCTCGCGTCTAGGTTTTCTCCCAACAGATGCAATCCGTCATCAACAAAGACCCAACCTGTCCTCAGACCAAGTCCATTCCATCCAGCGGTCGCCAACCCATCTTCGACTCAAGTCCAATCAACCCATCCTCGACTCAAGTCCATTAATTCAACCCATCCTTGACTCAAGTCCATTACATCCAGCGGTCGACCCCACAGACGCACATAATTTTTTACATGATGTTCATTCAAAACGGGAATTTTCTCAAATATAAATTAATATCATAATATATTAGCATTTTGTGCATATATATGCATAAGTTAGGTTAGGTCAGGTGTTTAGGTTCTGTTGGGGATTATTTGTATTTGTAGTACGTGGGTGAAACATTTACTGCGTTGTGGTTCGAACAAAACTCGTAAGTGAAGTACTTGTTCCAGAAGTGTTCGAACGAAATCAGTTGTGAGTCGTGTGTAAACCGTTTTTCATTCATAAACAGGGGGTTTGGCGGGTGCATGGAATCACTTTTGGGTCTTTGTTTGGAAGACGGGCTGAGCGGTCAACCCCAAGGGCGCATTCATTAATTTTAACATGCTGTTCATTCAAAATAGAAATTTTCTCAAATATAAATGAATATTATTTTATATTACCATACTGTACATATTTAGGCACTGGTTAGGTTAGGTGTTTAGGTTCTGTTGGCGATTATTTGTATTTTTAGTACGCAGGTGAAGCATTTACAGCGTTGTGGTTCGAACAAAATTTGTCAGCGAAGCACTTGTTCCGGAAGTGGTCGAACGTCCAGCCTGTCCTCCAAACTAAGACCCAAAAGTGATTCCATGCACCCGCCAAACCCCCTGTTTATGAATGAAAAAGGGATTACACACGACTCACAACTGATTTCGTTCGAACACTTACATAACAAGTGCTTCACTGATGAATTTTGTTCAAACCACAACGCAGTAAATGCTTCACCCACGTACTACAAATACAAATAATCCAGCCCGTCCTCCAAACAAAGATCCAAAAGTGATTCCATGCACCCGCCAAACCTCCTGTTTATGAATGAAAAGCGGTTTACACACGACTCACAACTGCTGACGTTCGAACACTTCTGGAACAAGTGCTTCACTGACGAATTTTGTTCGAACCACAACGCTGTAAATGCTTCACCCTCGTACTACAAATACAAATAATCGCAAACAGAACCTAAACATCTAACCTAACCTATCCTATGCCTATATATACACAATATGCTAATATATTATAATATTAATTTATACTTGAGAAAATTCCCGTTTTGAATGAACAGCATGTTAAAATTTATGAATGCGTCTGTGGGGTTGACCGCTGAATGTAATGGACTTGAGTCGAGGACGGGTTGAATAATCACCAAGAGAATCTAAACACCTAACCTATGCCTATATATGCACAATATGCTAATATATTATAATAATTTATATTTGAAAAATTCCAGTTTTGAATGAATGAATGCGTCTGTGAGGTCAACCGCTGGATGTAATGGACTTGAGTCGAGGACGGGTAGCGAACGTCCTCAGTTGAGTCGCGTGTAAACCGATTTTCATTCATAGACAGGGAGGTTTGACGGGTGCATGGAATGGACTTTGGGTCTTTGTTTAGAGGACGGGCTGGTGCAAACAGTTTTTCATTCATAAATAGGGGGTTTGGCGTGTGTATGGAATGGACTTTGGTTTTTTGTTTGGATTACGGGCTGTTCAATTAAACAATTAAAATAAAATTTAATTTTACTTCTCACTTGCTAACTACTTACTACTTTATAAATATAAATTGTAATACATAATCTCTCACCTACACCTTACTGACCTCAACCTCTCCTACTCTGCGTTGCTTCGTTATAAACGTTAATTCTGTGTATCTCTGTTCGATTTTATAAGCCCTTACAGGTGAAACGTTATCTACTATTAAAATCTAGTGCCATCTTGGTGTTGCTGTACAATAGCAACGACCAGAATAGCAACAATAACAGCGACGACAACAGTACTAATAATTATAATGGTACTTGAGGGAAATAACCACTGCAGAACCCTCCCCTCCCCGGCAGGCGACAGAGGGGCAGGACGCAGTGAGGTCGACGACAGCGAGCGACGCTGGCGTGGGCGTGGGTGTGGTGGGCCTGCACGCCACCTGCGCCCTAATGCCAGACACTAACCTCACCCACCTCTTCCACGCCCTCCCCACCGCCACCATGGTAAGTGTACTCACCTTAATGTATTGGCCTTTATGTGCCTGCAGGGTTGGACACTGAATAATGACTCCCGTTTCCTGACAACATTTTATTTTTTTTTTTTTGTATAGGGTGTCGCATAATTCTTGAACCATAAGGTAATTAATTTGAAAACCTTAGACATTCTTCTTAATGTTCCTTTAAATCACTTTTACTTCCTGTTTCCAGCCGTGTCCTCTGGTTGTGCCCCACTCAGCCACCGGTTTTCCTCGTCCACAGTGTGAATATTCTCTTGTCAAATTCAGGTTTTTTAGTTTCAGTTGGAGATTGGTTTCTTAGTCAATCTTACCATTCCAGCTCTCTTAATTCCGCAGCCTCCTCCAGTTCGTATCTACCTGTCTATCCCTTCCAGCATCCACAGCTCTCGGCCTTCATTCCTTATATCTCTACATGCCCCTTCCACCCTCCTGTCCACTCATCCCTTCATATCCTCCCGTCTGGTCTTTTTGCAAAATCCATCAGTCTGTCTAACCTCACTGATTCCCCTGTCTTTCTCCCTCGTCCATTCTCTAGCCTCTATTCCAATGTCTTCCCTTCAGTCATCCTCCAGCACTGATTATCCTGCATTTCACACACCTCCTCCTCATTCTCCACCATCAGACATAACTGCCGCACGAAGTCTCATTAATATCCTGTGCTAAACCCCTGCAAGAAATAAATTTCTTTATTATGCACTCCCATCCCCATCTCGAGGGCGGGGGTGGAAAGGATTACAGAGGCACATAATGGGTTCAGGAACTGAACCCCATACTTCGTTTAGCTAAGCAAGTGACAATCTTTTGAAGCTAATTACACAATTGTTAATGTATTATATATATATATATATATATATATATATATATATATATATATATATATATATATATATATAATATAATATAATAATATAATATAATATATGCGGAAAATCCACAGAGAAATGTGAAAGGAATTGAACGTTTCGGCCTGATTGCCTGATTAAAGATGTTGTCAACACCAGACTAACTAGAGGAAAGAGAGGGAGGTTACAGGCCAACACCAGGAACCTGACCAATATATATATATATATATATATATATATATATATATATATATATATATATATATATATATATATATATATATAATATATCTTTCCATGTACACAAATACATATACGTATCAATAATATTTTTATATCAAGTTCAACAAGAGGCTCACAACAGTCACTATACAAGGCACTTTACATCTATGGTGAGTCACGCAGTTACTAGTCTTGTTCCACACCCACCCAACTGGGCGGCAGCTTTACAGTCTCTGCAAGAGTGAAGAATTCTATTGATGAGAGATGCTTTTACTCCCCTTCTCACCCTCTGGTGACACTTGTCACTCAAACACCTTGTAGTGGTCTTCTGCAACACTCGGAGAAGTGGCTCATTTTTCCTTCGTTGACTTCAAACATAATCTAGCCATCCATACACTTCTCATATCTCACTCTCTAACATATACGATGGATAGCAAATGTTATTATACTACTACTACCAGTCACATAATGTTCAGGGCGACGGTGTTGGGAATAGAATCTGGTGACACTGGTTCCATCACCTTTATTTCTATCAGATCCACAGTCCTTTACTCTAAACACCTGCGAACCGTTTCGGCACTCCTTAAAGTAGATGAGAACACAGTGTCTCCTCAAGAGTTCCTGTCTTATCTGGGACGAAAACTTTCTTTTCGTTTCATATATCTTTATTGTCGTATTCTTCCAGGTGCTGCATAATTGTTCACTCCTGCGCAAGATTCTGATGCATTTATAATTACAGGTGTTGACGGTGTTGCAAGCAGCAGGGAGTAAACTGGTGGTTGTGGAGGCTGGGCAGCTGACCCCACTGAAAGAGCTAAAGGCACTACACCTCCAGGGTTACGCCAGACGTCGTGCCAAGCAGGTCTCCGGTTATGTTCCCAACAGAGTGTTGCAGATGGTGGAACACAAGGAGGAAATAACCAAGATAGAAAATGAGGAAGAACAAGATTTACTCCTGGCACTATCCGAAGATGCTCTAATCCCACTGACTAATCTACAGCTGCTGGATCTGCAATATGTGCGTCTGGTGGCAGGCATGGAAGGGGGACGCCCTCGGCGACAGACGGAGCCATTGTCCACTTCCACTCTCCTCGACATGCCCCTTCCGTATTTCCTTTCCCTCACTGATCAATTACAAGACCTAGACCTTCCTCCTGAATTTCTATCCGGACTGCCTCCCTCACCCCCCGTCGCTGACCCCAACACGGAGCTCGAGTTTGCGCTCCTAGAAGATAATGAAGACAACCTAGTGTCTTATGAGGTGTTCAAGTCAGAGGCCGAGGCTGTTTTAGCACCGTTCACGGCACAGAAGCAGCTGAAGTACCTACGTGTTGCTCATGCTAAACTGGATCGTGTAGGTCCCGAGTTGCTGACGGGGCTCGGCAAACTGCACACCCTTACTCTGGAGCATAACCAGATCAGAGTCCTGCCTAATGCAATGTTTACCCCTACCCATCACATCAGACATCTCTCCATTGCACATAACAATATACTCGCTCTTGAGGGATACAGTCTAGTTGGCCTCGAGGAATTGCTAACACTCGACTTGGATTACAACAAACTGGATAGACTTGGTCCAGCTAGCTTTCCACGTCTCCCTCATTTAGCCACCCTGCGGCTCCTTGGTAATCCCCTCACTCACGTCTTCCCCTTCTCCTTCACCAATGTAAACGCCACCGAAAAACTTCTCCTTGGCTCACGTCAGGTGTCAGCAGAGATACACATTGACACCTTCAGGCAGCTCGGGTCATTGACGAAGTTACAGCTGGAGAACACGACGCTGTTATCCTTGAGCCGGATGCTGCTCGAGGGAATGCCATACTTGAAGGAGCTCTCTATACATGGTCACGTACCATCAATTGACTTTGATGCCTTCACAGCAACCCCTAATCTGGAATCCTTAACTCTCAGTAACTGCCATTTGACTAGACTCTCCCTCGATGCCTTCTTCGGCCTCAAGAACCTCCGGTACCTGGACCTGAGTCATAACGGGCTGACGGAGCTCTCTCCTGGTACCTTTGACCACCTCTCAAGTCTCCGGGAGCTTTACCTCCATCACAATAACCTGACGACGCTTCCCCTGGGTATCTTCCTTCCTCTCCCGGCCAAGCTCATCCAGCTGTACGAGAACCCATGGCACTGTACCTGCGAACTCCTCCAGTTGAGACCAACCCTCACCTTAAGGGGCCAAGAGAGTCAAATATGCCAAAAATGAAAACTGGTTCGATTTCAATCAAACTTTTTTGACGAGTTGTATATGAAAAGGGTTTCATCTGGTCCAAGTCTCAGCATCGTAGCACAAATAGGAAGGGAGAAAAAAATATTGAATTATGTGTCAAAAATTTTCAAAAATGGTCAAAAACGATTATCAAACACAAGTGTCAACTGAAATCATGTCTATGACTCTCAGCTATCACAATAGCATATATTAAAAATATATATAATTAGTTTTATTAAAAAAAATTAAGTTAAAAAATACAAAATTTTAAAATTTCTTTTTTTCAATTTTATTTTTCTTATTTGTTTATCGGACGATTTGCATGAAACTTATACACCTGACGGCACGTAAGCCTATCTGTAAGGGTGCCAAGGGGGGCCAGGAAATTAGTTGATGTCAACCTCAGCCACAGATGGCAGCACCTTAGACTTTAATATTTAATGATTTATTTTTCAAGTAACATAAACGAGTTGGTACTCTTTCATTTTTATTCAATTTACATGAAACTTACACCTTATATGTAAAGTTTATGTCTCTAAAATCTGAAGGAAGCGTTTTTTCCTAAGTTCATTTATTGATTTTATAAATAGCAATAAACATGATATATTTGCATAATTTTGGGGGGGAACTTTGACTATTTGTATTAGGAAAACTAAAGATGTTTTGGAAAATCCCCTCACTACAGATCCTTTATTATATGCTAATGTGTCAGAAAAGTGTCATAGAATGATTATATCTGAAAAGGTGAAAGGTTTGAACTCATTTGAAAATGTGTAATATTCGTTGAAAAAAAAAATTAAATCTCCCTTTCTATTTAGGCTACAGTACTGAAACTTGGACCAATTGCAGCCCTTTTCATATACAACTAGTCAAAAAATTTTGGTTGACATTGAACAACTTTCATCTTCGAACCCTCTTGGCCCCTTAATACGAATCCTTGCATTTTCACTGTAAGGTTTGCAATTCATGTCAATTTATGTTTCGTATCACCTCAACCTTCTTGTGAATGAGGTGATATATAACGTTGTTCTTATAACGACTAACTAATTCAGACAAGGATAGACCACTAGATCCAACTAGACTGTCCATGGAAAGCTTATGATGGTCCTATCTACGGCACGGATTTGAAGAGAAACACTTGACAATTATATGTTTAAATATGTTGCAGGTGCGGCAACCTGGCTACACGACCTGCCGGTGGGAGGAGAAGCTTGGGACGGTGTGCACGGAGCAGCGCCCTGGCCGCCTTAGATATGACTCCCGGGTGGCTCCCCTTTGCTCCACGCCCTTACAACACAGGCACCAAGGCGTCTTCTCCGTCACCAGCCGCCAACTCAAGTGCCCCAAGCACCTGTGGTACCCGCGACTCCTACGTCGCGCGCGCAAACTTTCCCGTTTGCAAGATCGTGGCAACAACAAAGTGGCTACAGAGAATGCCGAGGTTCCTCTGGCAGTGGAGAAATCTAACTGGATGCCTCTTACGGCCTTCTCCTCCCCACCTCTCGAAATAAAAGATTTATTGAACATCGCGGAAGCAGAGATGCCCGATGAAGCCTTTGCTCCACTTTCTGACGAGGACTACGATGAGGCTGAGGAGGATAGTGGAAATGGAAAGGCGGAAGAAGAGGTGGTGGAAGAAGAGGAGGAGGAAGAAGAGGAGGAGGAAGAGGAGGAGGAGGAGGAGAGCAATGTGTTGACAGCACAGCTGACCCATGACTTGGAGCAGCTGCAACATCAGGCAGCTAGAGAGCGTCTTTCTCCTGGTAGGAATACTTTTAAAGCCTCACACCTCGACAGTCGTCGTCGCGAGAAACAAAAAATGAAGATGAAGATTGAAGCCGACAGACAAAGATTTCTGCGAGCTCGACAAGCTAGCAAACACCAGCTCAAAATTAGATTAGCAGCAGAGAAGCAGAAGATGACGGATAAGGTGGAAGCTGAGAGGTTGCGGGAGCAACAGAGAAAGGAAGCGGAGATGGAAGAGTTCCTAAAAGAGCAGAAGCTCTATCAGATCGTGGCCCAGCAGGACAAACATACCTAGTTTGCCTCTCTTTACTACTTCCTTCCAATACAATCTTTTAACAACTTACCTTTAGTCTCAACATTTTCCCACCAGGAAATACTCGTCCATAGTACGGGTGGTCAACAGTTGAATGCACTGAATAAGTTGTAGACGCCACCTCCAGATTCGACAAATAACTCTAAAATAAGAAAACTAAAATATAACGCAACAGGTACAACAAGGTTAGAAAGCGGGGCATAAAGAGCTAAACCTCGCTTCTTCGTAGTCACTGTTTGATGACGACCACACTCCACCACCACCACCACCACAACCACCACCACAACCACCACCACACTCCACAACCACCACCACCACACTCCACAACGACCACCACACACTCCACAACGACCACCACACGCCACCACCACCACACTCCACAACCACCACCACAACAACCACCACACGCCACCACCACCACACTCCACAACCACCACCACCACTCTTCACAACCACAACCACCACTCTCCACCACCACCACTCTCCACAACCACCACCACCACTCTCCACAACCACCACCACCACTCTCCACAACCACCACCACCACTCTCCATAACCACCACCACCACTCTCCACCTCCACCACCACCACTCTCCACTACCACCACCACCACCACTCTCCACTACCACCACCACCACCACTCTCCACCACCACCACCACCACCACTCTCCACTACCACCACCACCACCACTCTCCCCGTGCACCACCACCACCGCCACTTTCCACCGTGCACCACCACTCCACCGTGCACCACCACACTCTCCACGTGCACCACCACACACTCTCCACGTGCACACCACTCACCACACCTCCACCGTGCACCACCACCACCATCTCCACCGGCACCACCACCACCACTCTCCACCACCACCCTACTCTCAACCGTGCACCACACACTACTCTCCACCGTGCACCACCACCACTCTCCACCGTGCACCACACCACCACCACTCTCCACGTGCACCACCACCACCACTCTCCACCACCACCACTACTTCCACCGTGCACCCACCACCCCCACCACTCTCCACCACCACCACTACTCTCCACTCTCCACTACCACCACCACCCCTACTCTCCACCGTGCACCACCACCACCACTCCACCGTGCACCACCACCACACCACTCTCCACCGTGCACACACACCCCCCCCACTCTCCACCGTGCCCACCCACCACCACTCTCCACTACGTGCACCACCACCACTCTCCACTCCCACCACCACCACTACTCTCCACCGTGCACCACCACCACCACTCTCCACAACCACTCTGCACCACCACCACCACTCTCACCGTGCACCACCACCACCACTCTCCACAACCACCACCACTCTCCACAACCACCACCACACTCCACTACCACAACCACCACCCTCCGACACAAGGAACAGTTAGTTCCCTATAATGATAATATAAATAATTTTAATCTATAATATTGTTAAATTAAATTAAGATGTTTAAATTTCCTCCTGGGCTCTTAAGGTCATCACCTAAAGTGGATAAACCAATTTAAGAATTAAAATTATAAATGAAATTAACATACTATAAATTATTTATATACTTTGTGGCTTGACCAACAAATTAACTAAGGAAGCATTTTGATATGTTGTGAACATAATTAACATGTACAAACTATTGTTTTATTAAATATACTTTATACTGTATTTGGCATGAATGATTAATGGGAACCTTGAGTGACAAATGTGTCTGTTGAGTGACAGGTGTCCCCTGTTAACAGATACTGGAGAGTGACAGGTGTTCCTGTTAACAGGTACTGGAGAGTGACAGGTGTCCCCTGTTAACAGATACTGGAGAGTGACAGGTGTTCCTGTTAACAGGTACTGGAGAGTGACAGGTGTCCCCTGTTAACAGGTACTGGAGAGTGACAGGTGTTCCTGTTAACAGGTACTGGAGAGTGACAGGTGTCCCCGTTGACACGTGCGTCCTGATATGGTTTACAGGGTGTGCCCCCCCCCCCCATGCAGTACTGTTATCGCGAGTAGTTTTCTACTTTCTAAACACTACTGTTCACTACTTAAGAGAAAAACTAATCGATTTCCCATTGTCGGGGACAGGAAGCTTGCACAAAGAAATCACGTTTACATGAGAAAGAAAATGTTTTTAGCATACGCTTTTTATATTTAAACTAAATTATTATAATACAATAAAGTTATAACTTATACTATCAGTTTATGATAAAGGTTCATTTGCCAGCTTAAATGTAGACTATTAATGGAACCGCAATGTGCTTTCAGATCATAACAAATATCTATAGGAGGTTTGAATGGGGGTGGGAGAATGGTTTCTCATGACGGTTTTTAATATGTTGAAGACAGGCTGAAATTAATAAATATATCTGGGAAGGACGGCCGCCGGTTTAACGAGCCTGGCTTAAGGACGCGTTGAACGCATATTAATCGTTAACACCTAACTTAATATAACTTATGCCTAACTATACATTGGATTTTATTGTATAATATTAGTTTATATATAAGAACAACCCTATTTTAATTTCAAGTGTTAAAATTGATGACTGCATCGGGGCTGCTCCTGTACCTGCTTGGCCTGAAACGGTTTCCAAGCACCCGCCCTAAACCACTAGGCCGCGATAACCAGTTACAAAAGTAATGTAACTTGGGATTTAACTGAATCGCTCCTCATGTTTCCTGATTTTCCCAACCATTACCACCACGTCCAGCCCTCACCACCACGTCCAACCCCTCACCACCACGTCCAGCCCTTACCACCACGTCCAGCCCTCACCACCACATCCAGCCCCTCACCACCATGTGCAGCCCCTCACCACCACGTCCAACCCTCACCACCACGTCCAGCCCCTCACCACCACATCCAGCCCCTCACCACCACGTCCAGCCCTTACCACCACGTCCAGCCCCTCACCACCACGTCCAGCCCTCACCACCATGTCCAGCCCTTACCACCACGTCCAGTCCTCACGTTCACGTCCAGCCCCTCACCACTACTCATAAACACAACAACTCTCAAGTTTT